CCGTACTCGTCTTTTATCTATTTTTAGCTCATCTTATGTTTCTATTTTTAGTTCAGGATGATAGAAATGGATACCGATGTGAGCAATGCGGCAAGATATATTCCACCAAGAGTAACCGGAGTCAGCATATGAAGATCCACACTGGTATACGGCCCTACTCGTGCGAGGTTTGTGGTAAAAGCTTTCTCCGGAGAACCTACCTCAGAGGTCACATGATGGTCCATATGAATTTACCACAACCTTGACAAACAGGTTCGACATCTTTTTTATAACGTTTAATAAAGAAAACTGCGTTTCTTGTCTTTGTCATATCTAAAAAATGATTTTATTATTTCCGTTTTGTTACCCTTTGGAATATCTCTCCGATTATTTGACGAAAGATACTGTTAGGTTGTGATTCGTAAGTTGTATTTATTGTATAAGTTCTTGCTGGTTTTCTTAGTAACTTCCGATGTGATGAAGAGCAGCAAAATATTACTATCCAAAACGAAAATTGGGAAAGTCAGCATGGATTGCAGTAGATGGATTAACATGCGACAACAGTTTCCCATTGAACTTACTTTATAATTGTCAGGTCATTCGAATTGAAGTAACATTATTAAGGTCACACTAGCTAGACTTCCTTATATCGAGGATAAAAAGTGTAAAGGCACATATTTCAAGATGGCATGAGCCATATATACTCTACATTTAATAATGTTAAAATTGTTTTTATCGGAATAGACATTTTTATGTTAAAGCGTGTACCCTTTTCAGAACTTCGAGCTAAATAGCATAAAAACAGTCACTGTTCGGTTGAAATATGAGTTCAAAATTAATGTTTGAAGGAAGCTTCTGATACAATTATGAACACCAGTACTAAAATTCTTGTAAGCCAATATAAGACTTTTGAGCTAAAAACGTTTTTTTATTTCGTTCTTTTTTATCCTATATTTCAGACTGAGGTTCAAGAATGTGAATTGACTTCCTGACTCTAAAACTCACTTTCTTTACAATATAAATGATTGTTATACGACAAAAACATTGTAAAGTTATATGTGGCGGCTATGAAAAGTCGCTCGATATGCAGCTTCAATATCATTTTTTGCCAGTGAGTCCCCGTTATAGATTCACAAACTGTTCAGTATAAGCTTTAAGTATGTTTACAGAATATACCCGGCGGCTGTCGTAAGTGGAACATTCACAAATATTACTAGTATATCAGCATGAAATACCTGCTATACCTACTTTCATATTTTCTATATTTTCTTTTAATGTAAATAGGTGTCTTAATGTTTAACTTAATTTCTTTATTTTCAAAATTTTGATGAGTTTTGTACTTCGATAAATATAAATAAAACACAATAGTTTGTTATATATGAATGTTAACGACTATTGTTTCATTTCAAGGAGAGAGTTTCTAAAAAAGCTTAGATAGCTCACTACTCAATCCTTTTTGCATTTAATTGTAATAATATATATATATATATATATATATATATATATATATATATATATATATATATATATATATATATATATATATATATATATATATATATATATATATCTGACTGAAATGAAATATTGTTTAAACCATTAAATACCTGCTGGCGTAATACTATGTAAACATTTGGTTATTTTAAACCGTACTTTGTATTGTCATGTAATACTGCATAACTTTGTTATTTAATGTGTATATTACATTATTGTAGTTACATATAGCGTTGCGTTGTTACGTCTACATTCTATATTCAGATATTTTCTCATCTCTAGAGTATGTTATCGCTATTTTCTGAAAATAATAATGTAAACGGAAATTTTATTATATCATAGTTATACATTAAATATTTTTGGTTTCCCAGTTTATATGACGTTTATGATTGGATTATATAAAACATTTTCTAAATTGACGTAGTAAATCGGTGTACATGAATTTCTCCAAAAATATGCGAACACATATAGTGCCGCAATATGAGGCACTGTGGTGTATCATAAGCTAATGATATTGTCACTTTAAAGGCCCATTATGCCCCAGAAATGTTTTTAATTTATTTCTGCAAAGCGTGTTATTTTTGGTGATCTGTTATAACTTCCAAAAAAATACTCAATGGGCAATTATCTGAACCATCTTTTGCTTCTGTTGCTTTTTAGCAATAGTTATAGTGATTCAGTATTTTGTATGGAAGTCAAAATACTACTTTGTTTACATGTTGCTACTTTAATGACATATTATTTCACCTTAGCGCTACTTTCTTCAGGGGATAAGCCTGTAACATGCTCTAATTTCATTGTTTAAAGGTTATAAAATTATTTCTGTCCTTTCCAAGAAGAAAATATTTATTCGTATCTGAGGTATAATGTGCCTTTAATAGAAGTAGGTAGAAAAACACATTTGTGTCAACTACAATGCCTAGAGCTTAGATATTTGGCATGTTTTGGACCTCTACAAAAGTTATATAAAACATGTCCCTTGGGTCAATATTGGCCCTGCCCCGGGGGTCACTTGATTTATAATCACTTTATATAGGAACACATTTAATTAAGTCGTATTTTGTGAAACTACGATATTTGGCATGTAGCATTGGCTTGTGGACTTTTACAAAAGTGATATTGATAATGTTTCTTTGGTCAATATTTGTTCCGCCCCGGGGGTCATGTGATTTATATACACTTGTATAAGAAATACCCTTAAGTTTAATGCTGTAAACCTACAATGCCGAGATATTTGGCATCAACATTGTTTTGTGAACCTGCAAAAAATTGACATAGGCATAGGCAATATGGTGAATATGTGCCTCGCCCCTGGGGTCACCTGATTTATAAAGATTTATGTATGCTTAGTTGACATTTACAAAAGTCAAATTAATCATAACCCCTGGGTAAGGATTGACTCCACCCTACATGCCTAATATATATACTCTGAGCACTGCAGTTTTCCACAAAAGATTTGATGTGTTTTCTAACATATCAATCAACTTAAGACATGGTGACAGAAATAATTTTGACAACAGGGTCATGGTCATAAAGGGCTGCAAGTTCTGTGGTATTTTCTGATTGCAATCTAAATCGTACTGTATATCTGTATGTATTTTCCTGTATAAGTTTATTTCTATGTATTATAATTCATTTTGCAAGGCACCAGAGTTTGATACATACGGAATCCTGCATAACTAGAGTTGCATCAAAAAATCATTTATGTTCATTTTTTACGACAGCCACACTTTATCCTTGCATATCATGGCTACTTCATTAACAAAGACACTTAAAAAGGAATTAAAAAAAAGTCTCCTCGACTGGGATTTGAACTCCAGACCTCTCACTCACTAAGCCTGCACCACGGAGAAGTTATACAAACATTGTCTGAATAACATCAAGTCATTCTAAATTTAGAACTTCCATTGCATTTCGGGTTTGTAATTCCTTATTAATTTCGAGGTATTTTGTTCAGGATAAACCTGTTGTTTAAAATTGAAGTAAATAATTTAGCGAAAATCTTCTCGCCCAAACAGTCCGGCATGTAGAATCTATATATTCCACTACTCGGTTTGTGTAGTATTCGGTAATCGACATCGCTAAAAATAGTATTTTCATTGATAAAATCATATTCATCCGCGTAATTTGTGATTGTGCATTTATTGACAATTCTATAAGCCAACGCTATTTTTAAACTTTGAATGCGTTGTAATTTGTTGGATACTTGTAACAAAATAAAAATATTTCTTTCTTTTAAATCGCTAGTTTTAAGCTGTTTTGAGAACTACTTGTTGTTAGGTTTGTCGTAAACTTCTGTGTCAGAGATTGAATTTCCGCTTTGTATTAACTTATTTTCGATCAGAAAATACAATAAAACAATATTAGAAATCTTCGACCATTCGGGAATTATTTTGCTTGAAAATTAATGTGCCTGTCTTTGACCATCTTTACGCAGTGATCTCCCCTGAATTTTTCGGCGTTAGTGTACATATAAAGGGAAGTAACCGCTTCAAAAAAGTGGACTACTTTCGGCATTTGCAATTAACAGCATTAGACTCTGAAATTTCGCTACCATTATTTGTTTGGTCTGACGACCCAAACAAATAAAAACTATTCATGTAAGTGACTCGTCCTATGTCCACGCCGTAAACAGATTGTGTCACTAGTACGTTTGTTGTTATTGTTGTTTTTTCCCTCAAATATGTTCAAATGTTAGCATGGTCTTATTTTTATGCATATTAATAAGGCTGCCATACATCACCACTTCTGTCTGTTATTGTTATTCGCAAACATATTGTAACCCTTTTGTCTTTAAAATGAACATGTCGATCGCAGCAGATTTTTTACATCATAATTCGCATTTGATTTAATGGGGTCGAGGAGACAGGCAATATTGTATGATGATTAATAAAATAGGAATTATCACAGCTGATAACGAAGATAAGTAATAGAAAGAGCACCGAAACACGAGGCTATCTGATTTGTACGAGGGGGCGTAGCCCCCGTGTATAAATCAGATTGCCGAGTGTTTTGGTGTTCTTTCTCTTTTGTATCATAGTCAAACATGACAGCACGTTCCCTGTTGTCATAATACGAAACCCCAGAAAAAATGAACCAATGAACGAGCATTTGAATATGACATTCTTGCCCCTTTCCTTTTCTCTGCCGTCACAATATGTAAACCCCAGCAAAAATGAACCAATCAACTGGCATTATCTGGAGTGCGGGTAACTGATACCTGCACTCCAGTTACCGCACTCTGCATGTATATGTATACGATTTAACTCTGACACTTTTTCAACAGAAAGGTCCCCAAACTATGATACAATTACTTGTTAACCCACCGCTCTATTAACTTCTGCCTTTTTGCGAGATTTTTTTTCTTAATAAGGAAACCCATTGTTGTAATTCTTTTATCTTCTGTCATTATGGTTAGATAAAAGTTAACACTCTTGACATTAACAAAATTTAGGGAATTCCCCCGTTTCTATAAATAGCCTATCTGGTATTTTTTTATTTAAGTAGTGCATATCATATTATTGCACAAGTAGGTAACTTAATACTTATCTTCATAAATCGCGCAGATTGCCGAGGAGTAACGAGAAAATAAATAAGTTAAAGATTTAAACATTTCTGTGTGAAATTTTGCGTATAATTATACAAAAAAAAATCATGTATCTCAAAACAGTGATTCTTTTGGCAAATTGTTTGGCTTTCGGGTTGGGGCTTCTTGCGCTTTTATTACCGAACTGGTCATCTGGGAATTTCGAGGAGGTGAGAAACGTAACAGTGGTCAAAGAGATAGACAGTGGACTGTTTAATGAGAAAAACGAGTACTATATGAAAGAGGACTCCATTTTAGATTCATCTGAAGAAATTCCCGGTTCCTTCATGAGTAAGTTTTTTTGTTTTTGTTTTTTGTTATCGGTTCATCTTCTGTTAATTTTTGTAACTTCATGTAGAAAGTAAAAAAGAAATTCGTTTCTTTCTTTCAAGTTGTTAGGTGGCAGTTTTTAACAATTAAATGAATTCCTCTTTTAGCATTGAAGAGGACATGCAGTCTGAATTTTCGCCTATGTTTTGTAATATTGTTGTGGTTTTCTTTTCTATAAAAAAAACTGGATTCAATGATAATGCAAAAAGCACTGATTATATTTTTATGAAACTTGAAATATAGGTAGATGGCAGTCTGGAGATTATGCACGTATTTTTCTTTTCTTCCTATGTTAAAAAAATTGGTTGCTATGGCAACACACGCTTAAATATGGCAAATAGATTACTCAAAAAGTACTGAAAACATTTTTATAAAACTTGAAATATGGATAGATTGCAGTATGGAGATTATACACATCACTTTAATATACCACATATAACTTAGTTTGACTACTTACAGAATTATGCCCCCCCCCCCCTTTAACTAAGATTTGTTCTATAAATTATTAATATTTTAATCAAACTTCCTCATTTCTCATAGCTTTTACTTCAAACTCTCACATCACAATATTAAAAAGGTTATAAATCTAGCGTCCATATTTCAAGAATTATCTCCTCCGTAACTTTTGATATTTTCCTATTCATTCTTTAAGTTTCTTATTTCTTCATGGATTTACTACAAATAAAAAATATACATTCATTATCAACATCTACATCATATGTGATAAGGGTTTTCATTATTATTTTCATTTTGAACTTGGAATTTATTTGTTTTTTGTTTTTTTTTTTTAATTTCCTTCTTTGTTACTATAAATGGTATATTTGAAAATTGTTATTTTCATACCTTTCTTTGTGACTATATATGGTATCTTCCTTAAACTTAAGGTATTTTATTTGTTACACTCACATCGTGTCTAGCATCTTTATTTCCTCTTTAGTTTAAGAAATTTGATTTTAAAATTATATAATCTGGTACCAAACACGGATGTTTAATGATTTAAAGTCAGAGTGTCTTTCAGTCCGTTTGTCTGTCCGTTCCTAAAAACTGTTTCCTGAGTTCACTTTCAAGATCTTGGAACTTTTCCAACAAATTTACGTAAAATTGAGAAAAGTTGAAACATATTTATACATATTCATCCTGAGAAAAATGGATCTTTTCATTATCTGTAACTGTTGTATAGACATGTTTTTCTTACTATGCAGGGACACTTTACACATTACTATGATACAGACAAACTAAGAACTAAAAAGATTTTAAGTTCATTCATGTCATTCATTCAGTTAACGACATAATTGAATAGGCTCTAACCGGTAGTGGACTATGTATATTGCTTGCAATAATATGATAATAGCTTGTTTTTTTTGTTGTTTTTTTCAGAACCGGAAGTTGTTAAAATCATAAGAGCATTGATGATAACCGGACTTTCATTGTTGTCAATCGTTCTGATACATTCTGTTTTTCAATGGTGTTGCTATGATGATGATGAAACAGTCGGAAAGACCGACGCAGTGATATCTTTAATTCTGTCACTTGTGACAATTTTAGCAGGTAAATTATTGTCATTTTGTTAATTATAAGAATAAGAAAGTCTTTTTTATTGTATTGTTCTTCAAAGTAGGATAATTATTTTAATTAAGTGAAAGTTAGGAATTTTACGTGACTCATTTGTTATTTGATCAGTGTCAACAAAAAAATATCTCCGCCCTTTTTTAGTATGAGAAAGGAGTTGTCCGAATTTATGATTATATCCCAGATTGTAACACTGTAACACCGTATGTACATAGTGCAACATTAAAACGTTAATGATTTGTAATCTTACAGTTAAACAGAATGTAATGTATACACTTTTATTATAGTTTGTGCAAAGATTATGCTATAGGAATTAAAAGTTCAGACTTGTGAACCATAAGAAGAATTAATGATTTATTTGTCACGGGAACCTCCACAGAGCGACCGTCTGTAGAGCAAAGTCCTCTTAACAACAACAATATCAACTCTTCATAAAAAAGAGTTCACTATAAAATAAACCTTTCTATAGAGTAACAATCTTGTTCTGTTGTTGGGAGTTATATTATAATCAAGTAGACCTCATAAAATAGTGATATAACACAAACACATATCTTTTAAATTCTCTAACATCGAGATACTGGCTAGACATGTTACTGAGCATGCGCAATAGGTATATATATTTATACATGTAATATAGCTAACAGCTGATATTACTACAAACCTTATGTTTGTCTTTCAAAAATTGTTGTTCTGCAAATGTTGTACTGTATATAAAATATATATACCCTTCATAATTAAGTTGTATTTATTTTAATTCAGGTGGTTTTATTCTGAGCGGCCCACTGATTTATAAAAACCACGTGGTAGCAGAGTTCGAGCCTGAGAAAACAAGTTTCGGTGCAAGTTGGTACATGGCTTTATCATCAGCCGGACTGACATTTATTCTTGGAATTGTGAGTGTCCTTCATTCCTTTTGGTTATTCGGAGTGATATCTAACAACAAAAAACGATCAGTGTCACGTGGTAAATCACGCGAAAAACGGCAAAAAGTTTATACGGTATGATAACAGTTACAACATTAAGTGAAAAAGAAACTTGAGAAAATTCGTGCAATTTGACCAGGCTGCATATTTTTAAATTTTTATCTTGACGTCCCCGGAGTTGATAATGGACAGTGTAAAAAAAGTGACATTTCAGTAATCGGGATATACAGTTTGTGTCTGTTTGCATTGACTTCTCTCTTATCAAATGAAAAGAGCCATAAAAGTTGCCATGGAGAGATAACTTATTAAAAATACTGTTAATGCCCAAGAATACTATGCATAAATACCATGTTACCAGAGATAAATATCTATTTTTCATAAATATGCATGTATATTTCTGTTTTTAACTGTTTATTGTTTATCTTATAGCAATGTGTATTTACATGTATTATATGTTCTAAATGTGTTCTGATGCTATATTGAATAAAAAGGTAAATCAATACTGTTTGTTTCATTCTAAATATTAGATGTCATTCATGGATTGATATGTCACGATCTTAATTAAATGTCGACTCTCATGATCGTCAGTTCAGCAAAACGTCGGAGACCAGGCGTCCCGTCTTGCCGAACACGTGGGAAAGAGATCATAACCTCTGCACAATGAGCACCAAGATTGAAAGTAACACGTTTTCGGTGAGATGAGACCTTTGGCGTACAAAACGTACTATTTCTATAACTTAATGATAAGTTTGGCCTAATGAAAATTAATGGAACGTAGGTTTAGTAAGACTTGAAAATGTATGTTTTTTGTTAAATTACTCATAACATCGAAACTTATTTCCACATTCTTAGTAAGTCATCTTAACAGGGTCAGTCGTTAGTTGGCACGATCTTCTTTAAAAGGAAGATTTTGAAAGTATTAACTTGATTTTACAAGGGAAAACATGAGAGGAATATGTGTAAAAATCAAATAGATCCTGACAGGTCATTTTTACCGACTCCCTTAATTATTGCAAGTACGTATAAACTAGCAGTGTCACTGTTGTCGACACATTTAATTTTTGTCGACGCATTGAACTGTTGTCTACGCATTGAACTGTTGTTGACACTTTGAACTTTTGTCGACGCATTGAACTATTTTGCACGCATTGAACTGTTGTCGACGCATTTAACTGTTGTCTACGCATTGAAATGTTGTCTATGCATTGAACTGTTGTCTACGTACTGAACTGTTGTCAACGCATTGAACTGTTTTCCACGCATTGAGCTGTTGTCGACGCATTGAACAATTGTCTACGCATTGAAATGTTGTCCACGCACTTAACTGTTGTCAACGCACTGAACTGTTGTCCACGCACTGAACTGTTGTCTGGTTCTCCGATTGTACGGAATGGTTCAGCGTCGAAGCCAAGCCTGGCCAAGTTGCCAAACCTATCGTCACTGACCACTTTAGGATATCAGCTTTAAGGATTTAAAACAACAGTTTGTGTTTGTTGGGGAGGGGTGGCGGGGGGTGGGGGGCTAAATGCTTTAGGGTCAAATTGCAATTTTCTAAACCTTCCAAACAACACCCTTGTATAACATTCCGAGAACTTTAAATTGATGGGTTGACCCGCTACATTTTTCATAATATTCGTCTAACTAAAGTGCGAATGAAGATATACTGACACGGTGGCGGCAAACAAATAAAACACTGTGTCTAACCTGTTAGAAAGTATACGCTCGCATTTTTGCCATACTTTGTATTTAATTAACATGAAACACGTGGACTGTTTTGTCACCAAAATAAATTAACTTCAATCTTACAAGCTCCAAGTGTTTTTACAAATGGTTGCAGAAAACTTTAATTGTTGCATGCATTTAAGAGAAATACAATTTTATTTAAAAAAAAAAAATGCACTAAACGCGCATAAATGGCAGTTGCCGACTCCTTTTATGCCCCCGAAGGGAGGCATAATATGATCTGTCTGTCTGTCCGTCTGTGCGTCCCCACTTCATTCGTGTCCGAACTGTAACTGTCAAACATTGAGGGATTTTGAAAATAACTTGGCACAAATGTCTACCACATCAAGACAATGTGTCGCGGCTAAGGCTCATGTCCGTCTGTCCATGTGTCCCCACTTACACAACAATCATGTTCAGACTTTAACTTTGTCATGCATTGAGGGATTTTGAAATAATGTGGCACAAATGTCTATCTCATAACAACATTTTGTCGCGTCCAGGAACCACGTCCCTTCTTCAAAGGTCAAGGTCACGCTTATATTTTGAAGGTTCATGCTATAACAATTAGAGATTACAGGTATACAATAATACAAAGCACAATATTCAGCAATTAGTAACTTTCATTCTCTTTTCTTTTCATAATACCTGCATGCTTAAGAAACCTTTTCGGGGGCATTCGTCACTTGGGTGACAGCTCTTGTTCATCACTTGCGTTTATTTATTACCTTGACCAGTGGGTGATTAGAAGGAAAGTAAATAATAGCATAAATTTACCAAATGTTAAACTGTACTTATTTTTATCTGAAACAGCATGTGTGTGGGGGGGGGGTTCAAGGCACAAGCGGGCACTAGAGTAACAGCGTCTATGATAGGAATTTTTACACGTAAGCAATAACCGGCTATCACGTATTTTATTAAGTTTAAATATTCTCGTTTGTTAAGAAAGCATGTAGATTATTCGACTTTCTATCGAACCTGCTTCCCGAGAAACATAGTCATGACCCCAGCAACGCTCGAGCGCTAATTTCTATTATTAAGGCATTAATACACTTTAATCACTGGTCCCTCCTCTCTATATTGTATCTATATCTGACGTGTTCATCATATACAATAAGATGTGTATCAAGTTTCGTTAAGATACGGCAAAATGAGTACGCATTCAAAATATAGATTGTTTATCTCATTTATAAAATATACACCGGCGTTTTCTGAAAATAATAATATAAATGGAAATTACGGAGAAAAGCACTAGCAAGTATACATTTAATACTTTTGGGTTCCTAGTATATATTTTGTCACTCTATGACCAGGGCGGCATTAATTTCAGAGATAACACTCTCTTTGACTTGGTGTTTTATAAAATTCTATAAATAACTTGGATTTTCCTTAAAATAGCCTATCTGGTATTTTATTATTTACGTAATAATTATATAATATAATATATTTACGTATCAGCAAAATTATTGATTATTATATGAAATATATTTACCCACCGAGTGATATTAATTCAGTATTAGCTGAAAAACGGAGAGAAAAGACCAAGTAGAAAAAAATTATATTAAGAAATTAGAAATTTATTATTTTTAGGACACCATGTCTCACACTAAAGCGGTTTGTGTGTTTTGTCTTTGTCTTTTTTATCTTTTGGCTTTTGTTTTTGGACTTCTTGCGCTTTTACTTCCATACTGGGTATCTGGCAAGGTGGAAGGAGTGAGGACGGTAACGGTAGTGAAACAAACAGAAATTGGACTATTTAAAGAGAAGAGCGAGTACTATATAAAAGAGGGCAACATTACAGATAATGGCTTTCCAGAGATCACTGGAACATACATATGTAAGTTAAGCTTTTAATTAGCTTCCTATAGTATACTGAAAAAGGGTCGATGCGAGCTCAACTTTTAAAGAAACATGATGTCGTTGTGAACAATTTCCTCGAAGAGATTTTGGCAATTTGAAAAAAAGGGACCTGCATGGGAGTGTGCGTGTTAAGTTTGTGTGTGTAAATAATTTGTTGGGGTTTTTTTTTTTTTGCATTTTTTAATGTTACAAATCATTTGATTCTGATCTTTTTAGTGAACACATTGTCTGATTTTGTAATTTACATTATTTTTCTTCTCTTCAGATCCAGAAACAGTTACAATGGTGAAAGCGCTAATGATAGTCGGCCTTTCATTGTTGTTTATTCCACTGGTATACCAGGCAATATATGGATGTAGATGCTGTTGTCTTGAAAATACAGCAAGCGAGAATACCTGGATTAAATTTTATGTCGCTATGTCATCCATAGCTGTTTTATCAGGTAAGTAACCATGGTTTTATCATACATATAGTAATGTGATAAATACCTCATTTACAAATTTGTGAAAATCATGCTTAATTTAAGGTCAAAATTACGGTGGCATAGATGCAAAATGTATACTTCTTTTTATCTCACCTGTCACAAAGTGACATGGTGAGCCTTTGTGATTGCTTTTCATCCGGTGTCCGTCCGTCCGTAAACTCTGACTTTAAACGACATCTCCTCCTAAACTGCTCTGCCAATTTCATCCAAACTTCACAGGAATGTTCCTTTGGTAGTCAGCTTTAAAAATTGTTCAAAGAACTTAATTCCAAGCAGAACTCTGGTTGCCATGGCAACCGAAAGAAAAAACTTAAAATATCTTCTTCTAAAAACCCGAAAGAGCTAGAGCTTAAAGATATACTTTGCTCATATTTGAGTAAAATATTTTAATCAAAGAAATTTATTAAAACCTATGAAATTCTTACTGAATGTGTCTAATTTTAAAATAAAAGAATAAACTATGTATTGGAAGTCACGTTCTCTCTTGCAGGACAAGTTAAGTTGGTATTTTCTTTAAAAATCTGCCAGTTTTTTTACGACACTATAATTATATTCATATTGTGACCACCTATAGTGTGTAGAGTTTTAAACATGACATATCAACTTTGTGTGCAGTCAACACATATTTATTTCATATTTACGAAGAGACTGTGTAGCAATAATAAATATTTTCTGATATCAAATTGAGCATAGTATATCTTTAAATATTTGGCATGAAACATCATCTAGTCAGTGTCTACCAAGTTTGTTCAAATAAGTCATTGATTTTCATTATTTGTATATATTAAAAACTTATAAAAATCTTCTTTTAAAAACCCCAAATAGCTAGAGCTTAGCTTTTAAGCATGAGACATCTTCTAGTGGGTGTCTACAAAGTTTGTTCAAATAAAAGCCCCAGAAATTGGCCCCGACCAAGGGGGGTCATTGTTTTTCCCTTTATGTATATAGTAAAAACTTTAAAAAATCTTCTTTTATAAAACTCTAAGAGCTAGAGCTAAGATATTAAGCATGAAACATCTTCTAATGGGTGTCTACCATTTTTGTTCAAATAACTGGGTTAAAATTGGCCCCGCCCCGGGGATCATTGATTTTCCTTATATGTATGTAGTAAAAACTTAAAAATCCTCTTTTGAAAACCCCAAAGAGCTAGAGTTTAGATAAAAGCCATGGGGACAAAATTGGCCCCGCCCAGAGGGGGGGAGGTCATTGTTTTCTAGTAAAAACTTTAAAAATCTTCTTAGAGCTAGAGCTTAGATATTTATCATGAAACATTTTCAAATGGGTGTCTACCAAGTTTGTTCAAATAAAAGCCCCTGGGTTAAAATTAGCCCGCCCCAGGGGGGCCTATATACAGGTGAACGATTACAGGGCCATCATGGCCCTCTTGTTTAACCTTGTGGCCATGAGATAGTATTTCTTTATTTCGTGGGAACGAGGTAATATTCCCTTATGTCATGGGAACGAGGTAATATTTCATTATGTCATTGGAACGAGATAATATTTTCTTATGTCGTGGGACCGAGGTAATATTTCCTTATGTCGTGGGAACGAGGTAATATTTCATTATGTCCTGGGAAGGAGGTAATATTTCATTATGTCATTGGAACGAGACAGTATTTCCTTAAGTCGTGGGAACGAGGTAATATTTCATTATGTCGTGGGAACGAGGTAATGTTTCATTATGTCATTGGAACGAGATAATATTTTCTTATGTCGTGGGAACGAGGTAATTTTTCCTTATGTCGTGGGAACGAGGTAATATTTCATTATGTCGTGGGAACGAGGTAATATTCCTTTATGTCGTGGGAACGAGGTAAAATTTCATTATGTTATTAGAACAGGGCAATATTTTCTTATGTCGTGGGAACAAGGTAATATTTCATTATGTCATTGGAAAGAGGTAATATTTCCTTATGTCGTGGAAACGAGGTAATGTTTCATTATGTCATTGGAACGAGGTAATATTTCCTTATATCGTGGGAACGAGGTAATATTTCATTATGTCGTGGGAACCAGAGCTAAAAATGTAATATGGCATCCTTTCTTGCATTAAGTTAGGCAACTAGGTCTTACTGATAAATATGTTATTTCATCATCATTATTTTTCAATGGTCGACTAGTTTACTAGACGCGTACATTTTATCGAAAATTGTATTCACCCGCTGAATATGTTTTATGGGTTTGCCTTATTTCATATCTGGAAAAGTCTATTCAAAGTTTACGATAGTTCAATTTTAAAATGTAAAACTTGAGTTTTCAACAGTTTAGAGTCTGGTCAGACCACATTGAAGTGCAGGCTGGCCTGGCTCATACTGGTGGCAAACGCTTATTGATTTTAGATACAGCAGGTAAAGGATTTTAACTTACCATTGTATTATATTGACGTATATGCATTAATCCATGCTTACTATAAAAAATCAGACATTCTATATAATTATGTATTTATTTTGTGTGTTGTATTTCCAGGTGGGTTTATTCTAAGCTGCCCCCTTATTTACTACGCTCACGTGAAAAGAGGTGTCGAGTCTGAGATAATAAGTTTCGGTTTAAGCTGGTACTTGGCTTTTATATCAGCTGGATTCACATTTATTGTTGGACTTTGGTCAGTTCTTCATTCCTGTTGCACATTATGCAGAACAAGGTCCCAAGACAATGAACTATAAGGCGGAAAATCGTGCGCAATAAACAATCAGTAGTCTATACCTAATAATATTTAATGATGATTGCTGAACGATATTAAAGACAAAAAAGTTATATGAATATATTTTAATGTAATGAAACTATCAGACTACATAGAAGAAGAAGAAGAACTTGTATTTTGTACTAAAGCCCTAAAAAGAGCCATTGACATACATATACAAAATGCAGAAACATAGCGACATGTGACATCGTCAGGGTATACACTAGTTGATATTATAACATGAATTCATTATAATAAAGCATGTATGGTATAGACCATAGAGCGATGTTATCACGGAACCGTGGAAGCTTGAAGATTTGAAACAAAAATGTCCGCTTACCTCCCCAGAAGTTCTGCTGTTATGATATCAAACAGCGAAATATTTCGACGTACACTGAATATTTTAGTGACAATTCAAAACATATTCTGGTCAGTTACACAAGGGTATTCTAATGTCTGTTCTCTTTAAAGTAGATTGATCTAGAATGGGCACATTTTCCATAAGTGTTGTAAATATTGATAGAAACAGTAGAAATGTATCATTTTGGATATTTTTATAAAATAGTTCTTAAAATTACAAATGTTGATAAAGTTCTTCGTGATTTAGTATGAACACTTCTTATATGATGAAAAAATAATATTTTGTTCTATACCATTTTATGATTTGCTATACACAAATATGTATCGGACCATGTTTCTCAATCTCACAAAATCAGTATACATGCACAATTCCTTCATTTTTTGTATTTTTGTATTTTTATTTTGTCATGTATATGATATCAACATAATTATTTATAGTACATGTATTACAAACATTCCATTATGAACCAATTCACTTTTAACATGTTAAGTCAGTTTTTATAACCAAATATTTTCTTTTATTTTGTTTTTTTTATATACAATACATTTTTAGTTAATATACACTATTTAATTGTATGTGTTTGATTCTTCTATCTTCAATATTTATTTAGTAAGATGTTTTACATGCAGTATTTTTGTGTTAAGATGTTTTATATTTAAAATCTGTATTCAAAGAATTTTTTTATAATGTTACTTGATTAAAACGTCAATAAAAATGTTCAGATTGTTTGTAAGGGTGCGGCCCAACTCCTGATATCAGAAGATTTAACCTAACTCCAAATATCGGACGTTTTAGAACCTAACTCCGAATATCGGACGTTCTAGAACCTAACTCCGAATATCGGACGTTCTAGAACCTAACTCCAAATATCGGACGTTTAAGAACCTAACTCCGAATATCGGACGTTTTAGAACCTAACTCCAAATATCGGACGTTCTAGAACCTAACTCCAAATATCGGACGTTCTAGAACCTAACTCCAAATATCGGACGTTTTAGAATCTAACTCCAAATATCGGACGTTTTAGAATCTTACTCCAAATATCGGACGTTCTAGAACCTAACTACAGATATCGGACGTTTTAGAATCTAACTCCGAATATCGGACGTTTTAGAATCTAACTCCGAATATCGGACGTTTTAGAACCTAACTCTGAATATCGGACGTTTAGAACCTAACTCCAAATACCGGACGTTTTAGAACCTAACTCCAAATATCGGACACAGATTGAAATCGTTTTACAGTCCGGCTTGTTTTTCTTGCCCTTAGACTTGCAACAGACTTTGAAAGGTGTTCTGTCATAAGTGAAAAGCAACTAACTACTCAAAAATTATCATATCACTCTATACATTATGACCACAGCATCATCGTTGTTGCCTCCGTCTTGCAAAAACATTTATGTAGACCATTTCTCAAACAATTTTAAAGATATTAACAGGAAACTAGGATTACTTTAACAAGAATTTGTAACAGAGTTACCAACGTCCCCCGCCTCAGGGAAGTTTTATATGAAGCATAAAAGTGTGCTTTTTCAAATGATTGAGGTATGGCTCTCAAGACTTTCAGTCCAAAACTATGATCAATGCTAGATCTGCAAATGTAACAATAAATTCATTAAAGAAATAAAATGAAACACGGAATTTAAAAATATATTATGTCAAGCTTTGACTTCTAAGTGTGACCTTGACTTTAGAGGTTGTGTCAAGTATTTTCAAAATCCCTTGAACTATGGTGAAGTTATAGATCGGACACAAAATATACCCTATAACAGACTATGTTAATCTTTGACCTCTCAGTGTGACCTTGGAGGTAGGGACTCATGTTTCGCGCCTGACATTTCGTCTGATTTTTGTGATTATTTGTGCAAAGTATTTTTAAAATCCCTTGATCTATGAAAAAGTTATGGACTGGACACAAAATATACCCTATAACAGACTATGTAAATCTTTGACCTCCAATTGTGACCTTGACCTTAGAGTTAGGGACACAGATGTTACGCGTGGCATATCATCTTATCATTGTGACTATTTGTGCCAAGTATTTTCAAAATTCCTTAATCTATGAAGAAGTTATGGACGGTACACAAAATATACCATATAACAGACTCTGTTAACCTTTGACATCTAAGTGTGACCTTGACCTTTGAGGTAGGGGTGCAGGTGTTGTACTTGACATATCGTCTTATTATTGTGATTATTTGTGCCAACTTATTTCAAAATTCCTTAAACTATGAAGAAGTTCTAGATCGGACACAAAATATACCACATAATGTTAATCTTTGACCTCCAAGTGTGACCTTGACCTTGGAGGTAGGTGACCGGTTTTTGCGCATGGCACATCGTCTGATTATTGTGAACAATTGTGGCAAGTATTTACAAAATCCCTTCATAGATATAAAAAGTTATGGACCGGACACGACATATACCCTCAAATAGCAATGTTGACCTTGAGATGTAAGGGATAGGACAATGGGTGTAATGAATGAAATCCCATAACAATTAGGGCTAAAAGGTAAACATAGTAGTTAGATGGGGTAAAAATGATGTTGAAAAACTCTTCAGGAGACCCAAAGTTGTGTTATGTTCGACCGAAAATGATTATGTCACGGTATTGAACTGTTCTATAATTAGGGGAGGGGAGGTAGTTTGTAGGCGGTCGGATAGCTTAGTCAGTAGAGCCGCAGTACGGTATTCCGTGGGTCCCAGGTTTGAGTCTCGGTCAGGCTTCACATTAATTTTTTTTTAAATGGAGGTTTTTCAATCATTACTCATGGCGAAAAAAGTATTTAGTGAGTAAAGTATGTAAAGGATCAAAGTGAAGGGATCCTTTTTAGGGAAACCTCAGATGATTCCTATAGTGTAGAATTACCGTCTGAATGCAAGTGTTGTATTGCTTTGAAAATTGTACATCTTATCTCTAATAAGTGCTGTACAACTAAATCCTACCATCTGCCTAGTCTACTATGTTAAAAATTTCAAGCCGTGCAGTTTGAGAAATTTGTTTTCTGAGAATTTATATTTCCTATTATTCTAGTTTGTCATACCTTTTATTCAACATTTAATCATTTTTCAGCAAGAAACAAGTGAACTGTTTTGTTCTTATGTTTTTTTTGTTTTTGTTTTTTTGTTTTTTTTTTGTTGTTGTTGTTGCTTTTTTTTCGGGGGGGGGTATGGGGGAGTGGGGTGGTCGCATCAACACAGAAGTAATCGTGGCAACGTTCCAGCTTTACAGATGGTGGAAGACCTATCCGTGCATTTTTAAGACACGAGCGGGCACCGTAGAAACAGCGTGTTAATGATGATAGGAAATATTACACGTTAGCAAAAACCGGCTATCACGTATTTCATTTAGTAAAAACATTCTCATTTGTGAAGAAAGCATGTAGAACTGTACTTAAACCTGCATCCTGGAACTAACCAGACCAAGTGTTATGTACGTGAAGACACATGGTCATGACACTAGTAAGGCTCGAACGCGCAATTCCTTTGTTGAGAGGCAATATACCTTAATCACTGGACCCACCTCTATGTTTTAATCTAAATATTATGTGTACAATCAAATATATGTCCAGTGTTAATATACGGCAAAATCAGTGCGCATTCAAAATAAAGATTGCTTATCTCATTTATAAAATATTCACCGGCGTTTTCTGAAATTACAGAGGAAAGCACTTGTAACTTTTGGGTTCCTACTTCAGTATGAATCTCTCAGTCAATCTACGGCCAGTTTATAAAATCTATAAATAACATGGATTTTCCAGTGTCTAAAAATAGCCTGTCTGGTATTTCGTTATTTTAATACATAATAATTGTAATAATCTACGTATCGCAAAATTATTGGTTATTATATATGAAATACCCGCCGAGTGAGATGATTTCAGTATATAGCTGAGCAACGAAGAGTAAAGACAAAGAAAAAAAAAGAAAAACAAGCGAAATTATTAAGAAACTCATTATATTAGAAATTATTTTTGATCGACGCCATGTCTCGCACCGGAGCAGTTTGTGCGTTTTGTCTTTATGTGTTGGCCCTTGTTTTTGGGCTTTTTGCGCTCTTTATTCCATACTGGGTATCTGGGAAGGTGGAAGGAATGAGGACGGTAACAGTTGTGAAAGAAATAGACAGTGGATTATTTAAAGAAGTGAACAAGTACTATATGAAAGAGGGCAACATTACCGACGACTCGGATAATGGCTTTCCAGAAATTTCAGGAACATACATATGTAAGTTAATGTTTAAGTTATTTTCATTACTTTTTAAAATATACTCAATAAAAAGATGGGATGCAGGCTAAAAGCTACACGCCTCCAGATGAGTCAAAATAATTCAATAAAGTCAAACTTGAGAAAAATATACTAAGATGTAATTAAAAGTAAAAAGTCGGAAGATTCAAGTAATAATTTACATTTTATGTGCGATTAATGACTGATTTTTCAGTATTTACAACTATATTTCTCCTGCGTTACTAACGCAGTAAAGGCTATTTATACATATTTTGGTAATTTACGTGAATTGTATGTGTAAACTGCTTTCTTTTGGTTACTTCACAATATTACACATTCAAATACATTTTCGAGATGTTTATGAAAATTAGCATGAATCTGGAGGCGTGCTGCTTTAACTTTTCAAGAAATGCCAGTTCATTTAATTCCTTGAACAATTTCCTCGAAGAAGAATAACTTTATTTTGTTGTTTTACTAAAAGAAAATATGTTTTAAAAACATTTTGAATAAATAAATATTCAATTTATCAAAAAAATGGGAGTGGTAATGTACTTGTATAATATCCAAGCCACGCACCGACTGCCTGTTGGTGGGGTAAGTTTCCACAATTAATTTATATTTATTTTATTTTTGTTGATTTTATTTTAGTCTGATTCTGTAATTTAGAGTATTTTTGTCCTTTTCAGACCAAAAAACAGTTGAATTGGTGAAAGCACTTATGATTGCCGGCCTTTCATTGTTGTTTATTCCACTGGTATACCACGCGACATATAGATGCTGTTGTCATGACGATAAAACAAGCGGGACTACCTCGGCCATATTTTACATCGTTATGTCATTCATAACAGTTGTATCAGGTAAGTTACCATGGTTTTATCATACTTATAGTAATGTTGTGATAAAAACCATCATTTCGCTTATCTTTAGGTCAATATTACAGTGACACAGAGGTCACATGTACAGTATACTTCTTTTTTGTCACGAGATAATCTCCCGTTATGTCATTGGAACGAGATACCTTCTTGTGGTGTGGGAACGAGATAATATCCTTGTGCCATGGGAACGAGGAAATATATTCTTGTTTTTTGTGGGAACGAGATAATCTAGTTGAAACGAGATAATGGTCTTGTTAAAACGTGATAAATATGAAGTGTACAGGCTACCTTTGTGGAACGCACAAAATATTTTCTTTTTTTTTCTTTTTTTTTTCTTTTTTTTGATTAGACATCAAGATCTGAAACTTATGATAAGAATTTCTACATCAAATTGTCGTTGTTATTTCTATACCTGTAATTATATTGCAAATTCAAGTATTATACCTATTGGAACCTTTAAGCGGTAAATAAAGTTAAAGACACCATGTTACATCTTTTCTTGCATTGAGCCTGGCAATGGATATCACTCAACTGGGTCTTACTGAAAATATAATATAATCTCATCATCATTATTTTTTAAAATGGTCGACTAAACTCTTTACTTGATGCGTACATTTTATCGAGAATTGTAAAGGTCTTAACTTACCATTGTGTTCTTATGACGTATATGAATCATTCATGTTTAATGTGGAGTATGAAAATACAGATATTCTATATGATTATGTATTTATTTTGTGTGTTGTATTTTCAGGTGGGGATTTATTCTAAGCTGCCCCCTTATTTACTTACGCTCACGTGAAAAGAGGTGTCGATCCCCCACGATATTAAGTTTCGGTTTAAGCCTATGTTACTTGGCTTTTTATATCAGCTTGATTCCATTTATTGCTTTGGACTTTGGTCAGTTCTTTCATTCCTGTTGCACCATTATGCAGAACAAGTCCCAAGACAATGAACTATAAGGCGGGGGGAAATCGTGGGGCGCAATAAACCAATCAGTAGTCCGTATACCCATAATAATATTTAATGCGATGAAATTGACTGAACGATATTCAAGACATTAAATTTATTGAAAATTTTTTTTAATGTAATGAACTATCAGATACATAGAAGAAGAAGAAGAACTTGTATTTTGTACTAAAGCCCAAAAAAGAGCCATTGACAAAGCATCAATTAATATATACATACCGGTATACAAAATGCAGAAACATAGCAATATGTGACATCGTCAGGGTATACACTAGTTGACATTATAACATGAATTCATTATAATAAAGCATGCACGGTATAGACCATAGAGCGATGTTATCACAGAACCGTGGAAGGTAATATGAGTTCTTCTTGAAGACATTGTTTGAAACAAAAATGTCCGCTTACCTCCCCAGAAGTTCTGCTGTTATGATATCAAACAGCGAAATATTTCGACGTACACTGAATATTTTAGTGACAATTCAAAACATATTCTGGTCAGTTACACAAGGGTATTCTAATGTCTGTTCTCTTTAAAGTAGATTGATCTAGAATGGGCACATTTTCCATAAGTGTTGTAAATATTGATAGAAACAGTAGAAATGTATCATTTTGGATATTTTTATAAAATAGTTCTTAAAATTACAAATGTTGAAAAAGTTCTTCGTGATTTAAATCTAGTATGAATACTTCTTATATGATGAAAAAATAACATTTTGTTCTATAACATTTTATGATTTGCTATACACAAATATGTAATATCGGACCGTGTTTCTCAATCTCACAAAGTCCGTATACATGCACAATTCCTTCATTTTTTTATTTTTATATTCATTTTTTTGTCATGTATATGATATCAACATTATTATTTATAGTACATGTATTACAAACATTCCATTTTGGACCAAATCATTTTAACATGTTAACAGTCAGTTTTTATAACCAAATATTTTCTGTTTTCTTTTATTTTTTTATATACAATACATTTTAGTTAATATACACTATTTAATTTTATGTGTTAAATTCTTCTATCTTCAATATTTATTTAGTAAGATGTTTTACATGCAATATTTTTGTGTTAAGGTGTTTTAAATATTAAATCTGTATTCAAAGAATGTTTTTATATCGTTATTTGATTAAAACGTCAATAAAGAATTTACTGTTCAGATAACTAGTAAAGGTACGGCCCTACTCCAGATATCAGAAGTTTTAACCTTACTCCAAATATCGGACGTTCTAGAACCTAACTAGAAATATCAGACGTTCTAGAACCTAACTAGAAATATCAGACGTTCAAGAACCTAACTCCAAATATCAGACGTTCAAGAACCTAACTCCAAATATCAGACGTTCTAGAACCTAACTCAAAATATCAGACGTTCTATAACCTAACTCCAAATATCAGACGTTCTAGAACCTAACTCCAAATATCAGACGTTCTATAACCTAACTCCAAATATTGGACGTTCTAGAACCTAACTTCAAATATCAGACGTTCTAGAACCTTACTACAAATATCAGACGTTCTAGAACCCAACTCCAAATATCACACGTTCTCGAACCTAACTCCAAAAATCGGACGTTCTATAACCTAACTCCAAATATCGGACGTTCTACAACTTAACTCCAAATATCGGACGTTCTAGAACCTTACTCCAAATATTGGACGTTCTAGAACCTAACTCCAAATATCAGACGTTCTATAACCTAACTCCAAATATCAGACGTTCTAGAACCTAACTCCAAATATCGCACGTTGTATATGTAGCGAAGTGTTAATTTTAAGATTTCAAATGCTACACTGGAAATAGTAATATAAAGAATTAAGAACAACAAGAAATGATTCACTACTTTTAATATCCATTTTTTTCTATTTCAAAGTAAATAATCCAATAATCACATTTTTAATCCAATTTTAAGTTTTAAATTCCACAAGTCCGAAAGGTTCTAAATACTAACAAAAACTAACCTTTACATATACTACGAAACCTTTATATACAATCACTTTTCCCGCCAAATATATGAAAGACACAAAAATGCATGACCAACGGAGTCAAACGCCGTTGATTTAACAATAGACATTTACCGGCGGTGATTACATTACAAAACATTACATTACAATAAGAACGGAATAACATGTATATCTTACACCGTTGCTAAACGGATACTTTACAACAACGCACAACACCTTTGCATATGAAAAAGAACATAAGCATATTGAGTAAATTCATTATATAAGTTAATCATATTATTAACTTAAACACAAGAAAAAACTAAACATTTATTAAATTATTAAACACATATTATAAATAATCGCGATGTTCGCGACAGTATAACCTAACTCCAAATATCAGACGTTCTAGAACCCAACTTCAAATATCAGACGTTCTATAACCTAACTCCAAAAATCGGACGTTCTACAACCTATAACTCCAAAAATCGGACGTTCTATAACCTAACTCCAAATATCGGACGTTCTAGAACCTAACTCCAAAAATCGGACGTTCTATAACCTAACTCCAAAAATCGGACGTTCTATAACCTAACTCCAAATATCGGACGTTCTAGAACCTAACTCCAAATATTGGACGTTCTAGAACCTAACGTTCTATAACTTAATTCCAAATATCGGACACAGATTGAAAGCGTTTATCTGTCTGGGTAGTCCTTGCCCTTAAACTTGCAACAGTCTTTAAAAGGTGTTCTGTCATACACAGTGACAAGCACCTAACCACTTAAAAATTATCATATCACTCTATACATTATGATCACTGCATCATCGTTGTTGTCTCCGTCTTGCAAAAACATTTATGTAGCCCATTTCTCAATCAATTTTAAAGATATTTACACGAAACTAGGAGTACTTTAACAACCATTCGTTAGATATAACAATGAAAACGTAACCTCTAATGAAGTACATGTCGACAAATATAGATAGAATGAGATTTCTTACAAATATTAACCGTGGAGTATAATTTTATACGACAGAATTTATTTAATGAATAGATCTAAATATTGACAATGCAGTGAAAGCAGCATGCCTACAGATTCATGGAAATTTTCACGAAAATTTTGAAAAAGTATTTAAAAGTAAAATATTGTGAATAAACAAAAAGAGAAGCAATTTACACATTTACAAACAGAACTCACAACCCATGCAAATTACCAAAATTAGGTCAAAATATTCAAAAAAATCCTTAATTACTGCTTTAGTAAAGCAGATAAATACTTAATAATCGACCATTATTCGCATATTTATAACATATAAATTATTATTTAAACATTAAATTTGTTTGCTTTTCCTACAATGTTAGTACATTTTTCTAAAGTTTGATTTTATTAAAATATTTTGTCTCATGTGGAGGCATGAAGCCTTTATCAAATCATTAATATTTGAGCCGTGTCACGACAAAACCAACATAATGCGTTTGCGACCAGCATGGATCCAGACCAGCTTGCGCATCCGCGCAGTCTGATCAGGATCCATGCTGTTCGCTTACAAACCCTATAACAAGTAGAGAAACTGATAGCGAACAGCATGGATCCTGATCAGACTGCGCGGATGCGCAGGCTGGTCTGGATCCATGCTGGTCGCAAAATCATTATGTTGGTTTTGTCGTAACGCGGCTCATTTATAAAAAAAAAATCAGCAAATATGCACGTTAGATATTTAGTGCAAAATAGTGTAAATGATAATCAACCCTGGTGGGATCGAGAACGTGAAACAATTAAGCAGCTTAACTACGCAGCATCTACTAATTACGTTACGATCAATTCCCAAAACCGTTTTGAAACTGTTAAAATCTAGAAAAACAATCTTCA